AAAAAAAAAACTGGTATAAAGATTTTATTTAATCGAAAGCTTTTATAATTTCTCGAATTAAGTAATATCAATGGATTTCTCAAAAGAAAAAAAAGACTTCCACAAATACTAGCTCAGTTATATCATACATTTTAGTAATACAATGAATATTAATTTGCATATTTTGGATAGATTTCAAGACGATATCTTTTATAGCATTCAATTATATTTTTCATTTTTCTTTTTTCTGAAAATTTATTCATTCACAAATATTTCATTTATTTGTGGAACAAATAAGCATACAATACAGTGTAATATAACACAATACAATTATTTACATACATATATATATATCGCTTATTGTATTAGAAAAACTTAAAATTTTATTTAATATTAACATAATATTTCATTTAACATTTTACATTATTATCAGTAATATTATTGTTATTTGCATAATATCATGATTAGTACAACAATTATCATCAAAAGTATTCTATTTTGATAATTATTTGATATTGCTGTTATCTGATTGGTGGAAGGAAACGGTAGGCCAGCTGTAGTTATCACAAGAAACCACGCCTATATTTCAGGCCTTAAACATAATCATTTGTCATTCCTTTGCTGTTTGTCGATGCATTCATTTTGTCCATCATTTTTTCCCATTCTCTCTAATTTTCATCCTGAACTTTTTATTAGCATCCACATGCAGAACTAATTTTTGCATGTATGTGTACACGTATATGCATGCATGCATGCATGCATGAATGTATGCATATATATATATATATGTATGTATATATGTGTTTCGTAAAAAAAATCATAATTAACCCATTCCCTTTAACAAAAAAGTATGTAGCACATTTTGTTAAATTAATTGATATATGATTGCTTAATAGCCTATATATTCAAATATGAATGTGATTAAAAGTTAAAGTTATATTTTGAAGTGATAATTTAAAAATCAATTCTAAGTTCTTTTTTTTTAAATCTTTACCATTTAAAAAGAATAATAGTAAAAAAATAAAATAAATAAATCCTTTGAAATATCTTTTTATTAATTGATATATTAAGTGATGAGATTTATTGTTATTATCAGGGAAGTGAAATGAATTGTCCGTCCGCCATTGGCGCATTCTCAATGATTAATGTATGTTCATCATTTGATATTTGTCGTAATTATCAATTAAAGGTCCATTTGATATTGTTAGGAATAGTTTTGGAATGAAATAATTTGAAATGCTTATTGTAAGGAATTTTGTTAAAACAAAAAAACAAATTATTTTTTTCATTTTAAAAGTCTCACAAATATATTATTTTAAATTTGCAGTAAACATCTCAAAATTTTTTTTTCCAAAATATTAAATAAAATTTTAAGAAAAAAAATTTAGACATTTTTTAGATTGATAAAAATTAAATAATCCGTCTAATGCTAATTTATCATATCAATTAATGAATAAATTAAGATCATCGTGAAATAAGGCATGTTTACATCGTTTATTAATTTTTTTTTCTTATGGCTATTCTATGCATAATAATTGCTCTTTTTTTATTAAAAAAATAATGATAACCGTGATATTTATTATCTATTGATTCTTTCATCAATATTACCTACCAGTAAATTGATAAGAATTGATAAGTAACTATGACTAGGATAGTATTTTCACACAGCTAAGAAATTTTGATAAAAATTAAAATATTCGAAGAGATGTTGAAAATATTATGTTATTGTAGATACAATAGCATTGATACAATGAAATGATAAGATAAATATAAGTGATTGATTACTACAAATGTTCGATTAATAAAATGAATGCTTATCAATTAATAATTGAAAATTTGGCGAAAATTTTGAAAACAACCGTTAACGATGAAGTTAGCTTGAAGAATGATAATTTTGTTCCAACAATGATTATAATGCTAGCCGATTATTGTGACAACAGTAACTGTAGCTATGACAATTGCATCAAAGTAGGTTGAGATAGATTATTGTATAAGAAAATATTTTATATGCCATCTTTGGCTTTATATTCCAATCAAAATATTGAACTATTACAATGTTTATATCCTCATTCTTCTTTATCACTTTTTATTTTTTTTCACAAATACTTTCATTTTTTTTCGCCTACAATTTGCATGATTTATATTTGTCATAAAAGTAAAACATATTGTTATTATAATTTTATTTTTCATTAAATAATAATAATTAAAAGAGAGTTATGTATGGTTTTAATTTAATTATAAATAAATTATTATTTGTAGATTTTACGATTTTATCAATTTTTATTTCTTAATAAGATTTAGCGCAAAATAATAAATAATAAAAGAGACTACGTGAAAGATATGATTGATGCATAAAAATAAGTTAATTTTTGAATAGAAATGAATTTTTCATATTATCAAGAATAGTAACGCTGTCTTGATGAATTCCGGAAATGCGGAATATTTGTATTTCATGAGTTTCCTGACAAAACATGAACGAAATTTCATTACTTCATAAAATTATAAAATATTGATGATAATTAGTTTTATAATATTATTGATATGATGGAAAAGGTATCGGAAAATTTTTACACATTTTTAAAATTTCAAAAATAAATTTTATATGGCAATTTGATATGTTCATTCATGATATTAATGATATTTTAGCACATAAACAATATAAACAATTTTTAAGTATAAACAATTTTGTCATAAATTTTGACATACCTGATGATGACATTCCTCCTTTTTCCGGAGTGAATTAAACGGAACTAAAATAATGAATGTGAAATGCTAAATGACATTTGTTTGTAATAGGTTATATGACAAAAAAAAAAAAGAAATTTTCGGAAACTTTTTATTTAATATAATAGTAAAATTACTCTATCACCAATATAACTTTATTAAAAATTTAATTTTCCTATTTAGCATAATATTTCCATTTGCGCCAAAGTTTTTATTTTCATCACAACATATACACAATCAAATATTTAATTTAACAAGCATATTTATTTTCCAATTATTCTGATAAATTCTATTTCCATTATATGATAAATGATAAAGCGTTTATCATGTATTCTACCATAAATGCCAAAAATTTGACACACTGATACGATGATATGTTGTATCAGTCTTTTCGAATCCAATTATCAATAAGTGATAGAAATAATCATATAGCAATTCAATAAGTGATAATTAAATCAATTAGTTTTTTTTTCGATCATTTGAAAATGGCTATCTTTCTTTTTGATAAATTTTTTCAATCTTTTACAAAAAAAANAAAAANANANANANANANATATATATATATATATATATATATATATAT